GTGTGGCCGCTATTTTATTAGCTAACACAGCGGTCGGGTTCCCTGTGGGTTTAGTTTGGGCATTTTATTGATACAACTGACCTCCATTAGCGGTATTCTTTTTTTCAAGTTCACTAAACGTAACTACATACCGCAAAACCATCCTTCATCCGAGTTGTCTCCACAGTCATCACTGCCATCGCAAACGTCCCACATGTATATACAGAATCCATTGTGGCACTTGTACTCATACGAGCGGCAGTTTGAAGAGTGGGTCGAGGGAGTAGTCGATTGAGTGGGTCTAGTTGTACCTGTAATAGAAACGTGGTGAAATGTGCTAAGTTAAATTGTTACTTAACAGACATAAATACCGTACAAAGCACTTTCCATGTGGTATTGTGTTTATTATATACAAACTGAGACATTCATCATTTTGGCGGCCTTTCTATTTTAAATCTTTCAAAAATGCTAAAATTTGCCGCTACACACTGACCGCAAAATGACAACGAAAACGAAGTATCAACTTTTTAGTAAAAACGTTTGTTAAAAACATAAATGACGGTGAGGATATGAGGTAATCCAAGAACTATAAGTAATCTTAGCTGTTTGTTCTCAATGCACAATTGAAAATGAGTGAATTTAAGTAAAATGGCCGGTTTTAATATAAGCTTAAGCTTAAAGGAAAGGCAAAGTAGCTCCGACAAAAAGCACAACAAAAGCTTACGTCTCGTTCTGTTTATCCCTTTCCGCTGTTGTTTCGCCGGCTCTCTACCGTTTTCTTTATTGACAGCGAAACAGACGAAACTATTCCACTCCATTTCTGAAATGTTTTTCACTTTTTTAGCGAGAAAAACTCTTTGAGTAAAACTTTTCTCGTTGAATGTGTGCGAAGCGGTGCTGCAAGCTGCAATAAAAGGCGGGAATTTTGGCGCCAAACTCACACACCCCTGTGGCTTCTGATTGGACGTATCATTTTTCTCACACGTGAAAAAACATCGTTCGCGGTTCTGATTGGACGTATCATTTTTTTCATGTGTGAAAACCATCGTTCGCTCCTCTGATTGGCTAGAACTAATTTGCGTACGAAAATTTACGACATAGCTTTTTGGTGAGTATTTCTCAGTATGTATATAATAAATACTAAATATTTATATTCCCGAGTGTAAAATTAGCCTTACTTCTTTTGTTTTGCAAAATAAAATACCCGCTTTTTTATTTGATTTTCTATAGAAAAAGAAGGGCTTTTGAAATACAGTAGGACCCCGGTAACTCGAGCTCGGATAACTCCAAAGCCACATAAAGTATAGCAGCGAACTTGGAAGACATAACTTTGACCCGGCATGAGGCCGTCTTTATAGTCCTGCTCGTTGATTTTGCATCCGTTTTCGTAAGAGTAACAAGCTGTCCTGTTTTTTGGTTCCTTTAACTATTATTTCGTAAAACTAAAATAAATAAATAAATAAACAACCGAGGGAAAAATAACGCCAAATAGGTCAGGTATAAAAATATCAAGGGATGGTTCTTAACCTTTGAGTCTGCGGATAAGAATTACTGAGCAGTACTTCGATGTGTTTTTTATGCTTTTTAAGATGGTTCTTACTTCTAAGTCTGTGGATGAAAAAGTCCTACAGCCCCATGCAAACGGACGCAACATTGTTGGCCAACAACTCCCAGCATTGTTGGATGTTACCTGTTACGTCCATTTGCACACCCTGTTGCATGTTGTTGGATGTTGTTGCGTGTAGTTGCTTAAAGTTTGAAACCGGTCAAACTTTTCACCCAGCAACTCCCAACATTTCTTTTGTTCCGTGATCGCCGAAGCTTAGCGCAACAATGTTGGATCCGTTTGCAAAGCTCTTCCAACATTGTTGGGGCCACGCACGCTCATTACGCATTGTTTACATAGAGGATATTACACGGTGGCATGAAGATATGATTTTTATTTTCGAGTGGCAAAACAATATTTTACGAACGAGCGCAGCGGGTGAGTAAAATATGTTTTTGCCACGAGAAAATAAAATTCATATCTTCAAGCCGTCGTGTAATGTTCTTTTTATTATATAGGCAAAAAAACATTGATAAAATAATAGAAGGAAATTACCGAAATTACGTCATCGATAAATTCACGTGTGAGATTATGGAAAATAAACCACTCGGATCCCGGAAGTAGTTTTTATGAATTTTACGAATGGTATATTCTCCAGTAAAACACTCGTGTCTATATAATAAAAAGACTTATGGGTTGTATCCTTCCCAAGATGCACTGCAGGTCCCAACATTGTTGGGAGTTGTTGCATCCGTTTGCACACCACTGCCAACACGCACGCAGCAACTCCCACCATTGTTGGCATATCAATGGTGGGAGTTGTTGCGTCCGTTTGCACGAAGCCTATGGTGTAGCCATTTAAATGAGAGCTAAAGAGAATTGTCATAGCTATAGCTGTGCATGTGTAAAACGAACGATACAAAAATGTAACCGAGCTCAGCAAGTGCGTATGGAGTCTAAAAGACCGGAAAACCAATTACGAAATTAAATGGCGTAAAGTAAGACAAGCTAGATCGTATTCACCTATCAACAAAAAATGTAATCTGTGTCTATGGGAAACATTCTATTTTATGATCACAGCTCTGTTTTTACCATTGAGCACTTTTATACTAGATGAAGTCTTCAGTTTATCTGCTGCTAGTTATATATACATATATTTTTTACTTGCTTTGCAAGGTAGTTGTAACTTTGGAGTCTGTGCATGGATAAAGCCCTAAGGTGTGGCAATTCGTACAAAAGCTACAGCTTCATGACAAAGAAATATCACGAGTTTGGTAACTCAAAATTAGCAAAAACAGAGATAAACTGCTAAAACTGAACAGTTTCTCTCTGACAGTTTGCAATCTGATTTAATCTTACCCAATAGTGTTCATCCGTTGCATTTTTTTTTTATTTGTTATTAAGTTCTAGGTTACTTCACTGACTCGGAAAGTTATTATATTATGTATTTTTATCCTTCGTCTGCTGAGCCAGTTTCGAATTCTCAAAATCCAAGCTTGGCTTGGCTTGGCTTTTGCATTATTGTGGAACCCTTCCAATGGGACACCTCTAATCAAGGGACACTTCCATTCAGAGGACAAAAAATTTGGTCCCGAAAAAATGTTCGCATAATCTTTGTATGTGTTACCTCCACTGAAGGGGCACCTCTATTTAGGAGAAATAAACTCAGGTTTAGCCTCTATTCAGGGGACACATTAGCATTTAAAACTTGACCGACAACAAATAGGGTTGACACCTCTAAAAGTACACTAATCACTATCTCACTTAAATCAACTTTCTGCACCTGTGGAAATTCAACACACAATATCGCATATTTTGCATTATGTAGCTGCTTAAACTGCAGCAGATTCTGAGGCAGAATAAAAAATATATATTTCCTTTATTAACAAACCTCAGCCTAATCTTCATTCAGGGGAGACCTGCCTCGGTCCTGAAAATTAAGGGTGTCCCTTAAATAGAAGTTCCATTGTAAAATCCCTTTGCCTCAATACCAAGTATGAATTTCAATAATTCGAACCTAGCGTATGGGGCACTGCGATCAGTTAAGTCTCATGAATAAAAATTCACGAAAAGAAAGAGCAATACCCACTATAATATAATCCAACTTGGGCACTGCTCGATCCAAAACCACATAAAGCATTGCAGCGAACGTAGAAGACATATTTTTCACCCGGCTGAAGGTCTTCTTCGTGGTCCTTCCGTTTTATTGTCCAACTCGTTGCTTTTGCGCCCGTTTCCGTATGATTAACAAGCTCTCCTGTTCTTAGGTTTGTTACTATTATTTCGTAGTACTAAAATAAAATACAAATTGAAAATAAATAAAATAAATAAACAACTGGGGTAAAAATAAGCCAAATAGGTCATACACTGACCTATTATTGTTTGCGTAAATCAGTTCATTTACCGAAAAACAGACGAGAAAGTCTGAAACCGGTACCAAAGACGGGTTTAAACAACTGGAACACGAATTTAAGTTTGGAACATTCCGTCCGCAAAACAGGACTACCATTTCAGTCGTTCTGATGCTATCCCAGTCCAATGGAAAGGCTCGAAAACCCCTGCTTCATTTAAACCCAAACTGGAATTTCCGAAATTTGTTGGTAAATGGAAAGCACCCAGTACGTGCGGGGAAAGAAATGGAGAGATTACTACCAGTCCATAACATTCTTGGTAGTCAAGCACGTTCGCTATTCAGTTAGCCAGTTAACGTTAGGAATTCCGAGGAAAAATTCGAGCTATTTACATACCAAGCAACGTCCACTATGGCTCTACGTCTCCAGTTCTCACCCAACCCTTAACAATTAACAACATTGCGGCACAAAAGTGAGTGAGTGTGCATGAGATCCTAATTAGGTCAAAGAGCAGAACGTCTCCAAAGGTTCGCAGCTAATCTCTTACCTTAATATCAGCAGCCTTTACATCAGGTGGAGCATTCCATCTCAACAGAAAACCCTTCTCACGTTCTTTTGTCCAATCTGTGCTGGTTGCGTCTTCCCCACCAATGAAGCTAACCGCCAGGTTAGTGACTGCCTTAACTGAAGGCTTTATTTCAAGAGAGACCTTGCTGTCCGCACTAGTACTACGTTTTGTTTGCGCTTTGACCGTGAAATCGTACGTGTTACCACAAGGGAGAGTTAGGTTAAGGTTTGTGTCAGAAGTAATATTTCTGATGGTATTAAAACTGTAGCGGTGACGTTTAGTGATAACCAAATAGTTCTGGAGGAATAAGCAAAGAAAGAGACAATCACATACTAGTTATACAACCACCACCGCGGCAGAATTAGCTTAGTCGGTAAAGCGCTTGACTGCAGAGCGGTAGGACGCGGGTTCGATTACCGGGGCCGAACCAATATTCAAGGTCTTTAAATAACTGAAAAAGTAAGGTACTACCTTTGCAATGCAAGCGGCTAGACCTTCGAGTGGCTCGCATGACCACGGCGGTCCCACAATTAGTATTTTCGTGCTAAATACATCGGCATTCAAATAAAATGCATTTGTTTTATAAGCACAGTAAAATATTTGTTTTATCTTGTGCATTTTATAAGGCGCGTGTGATTGACCGTATTCCGGAATGGGAACGAATAGAATAAGCCCTGGGGATCACTTGTTTTGGCAGTCAGTGCACTACAATATCGAGAAATTACAACGGAAAGATGCATGGAGAGTTTAATTGGACCGAAAATCACAGTAAAAGAGAAATGTAAGAAGACATTTGCGTATAAGATCATTCGAAATGCGACTAAGAGACACTTATTTTTAACTGTCATTTCGCTTCATTTTTTGGTAAGTATTCAGATAATTGACATTAATTCGGGGCTTTCCCCTCACCAAAAATTGCTGGGCAAATTATTATTATAATTTTTTTGTTCTTTTTTTTTTCTGTAGCGCGTGTTATAGAGAACACAAAAGACAGCCATGACAAAGTCCGTGTAATACTACTACATATGTAGAGGACAATCGTGTCTTCGTAATAGCTAACTGCTTACAGTTAATTACAGAAATCAATGCTACCTACAAATTGCGTTCCACAATTTATTCCGGAATCGTTACTCGGGACGCGCCGGTCTGCTACGGCCAGGCAGTTTTTTTTTTCGCTGCCTCTAATAACAGTCTCAGAAGTCTTTGAGATAGTCAACTCGGTCCAGTTTCCTTCTCGCTTCTAAAGTGGCAAATGATAACATTGCACATACTATGATGCCAAACGGTAACACAGCACTGTTACCCGCAAAATATTAACCTCTACGTGACTAATGCCTTTGTCGCGCGGTATAGCAAATCACTTTATGACTTAATTATCCCTAATTATCAATACCCCTAAAGCGAAGTTAGCCTGTGTATAGCTGACTCTTGTCACTCCTCGCCGCTAGGGACGTTTCACAGGAAAACGAAACGTCCCTAGCTAGGATTCCGGATTCCATAATCAAAAATTTCCCAAATTCTGAAATCCAGATTCCTTTACATAGGGCGATAAGAGTTCAATGTTTCTCACCTTATTATCACTAGTAGTTGACGGTGCTTTCCATGAGAGATGAACAACGTTTTTTGTGTTGCCTACTAATTTGACGTTCAAATCTAAAACTGGATTCACCACGGCCGTTGTAACCAATGTTATCTGGGCGTATTTACCATATCCATATATTGTCGATACACGCAACATTGCAGTCCACTGCGCTCCCCTGCCCACGGAGACATTAGTGGAAGTTGTATTTAGGCCATAGATTTGTTTGTAATGGAAATGACTGTACTGACAGTCATCGCACTTGTACTGAAACCAGTAGTACTGCAAAGAAAACAAGTTTGCGCAATGATTGAAATGAGATGGGGAATTTTATGCCTGGCGAATACATGAGAAAGATGATTTCTCAGTCAGTTACACAGTCGGATGAAAACAAAGGAGTACTATACTGTCAATAGGAGTCGAATCTATGACCTTCTGGCTGCTAGTCTAACGAAAAGTGGACTAGAAACCAGAAGGTCATAGGTTCCACTCCTATTAATAATATTGGCAGTAGTCGGATATTTTCTTCCGAGCCGCCTGTCTCACTGACTGATCATCACATTTCAAAAGCAAAATGCATTATTTAGCAATCATATTGAGATTATTAAAAACCCCGAGGCGTTTTTGAAGCTGTTAAAAGCACTCACAGCACGTGATTTATCACTGGATTCGAGCGCCAATCACTACTATTCGTGTTTTAAACATTACAAACTGCGGGAGTTCTGGGGCCAATTTAATAAAGTGTAACTCACTGTTTTAGTGTCTAAAAACAATAGCTACACTTGTAAATTAAACTTGTTTTACAGTTTTACTAAATTGGCCCCTGGGTAAAAGACGGGCTCGACATTTCAGACTCGGACTCATCATACGTCCCGTTCACACCAACTAAGCATTTTTTAAATAAACCAGGTTTTAAAAACCAGAAAAAGATGGGAAAAATGGAACCCAAGTTTTTACAAAGGATTCAAATGAAACTTCAACATGTTTTGTAATTTGCACTAAATTTGCAATCAACTTGAGTCAGTAAGCAGCTTTTATGAAGGAAACTATTTTAAACTGTGTTTAACTAAACAGCTTTAAGACATGTTTAAGTGGGAATGGGGCATAAAGTAGGTTTAAAAAAATGAAAAAAAGTTACAGAAAACTAGAACACGGCTTTTACACCGAGTTAAAATGAAATTCAACACGATACGTAGTTGCACCAAATTGGCAATAAGAGAAGTAGACCAAGGAGCGTCTATAAAGAAAGCAACGTTAAACCGTTTTCAACTAAACAGCTTTCAAACATGTTAAAGCCTTGGTGTGAATGGGGCTTAGTCAAAACTAATCGATACTTTGCGGTTTCTAACAATTTTAAGACAAATATGTGCGTTACTAAATGACAACTCAAAACCGTCATTAAGGCCATTTATACGAGGTAAAATAAGGCGCAAAATGTCCCGTACAAACGGCACACGTCTTCTGAAATAAGACGTGTCTTTTCTAAATAAGACGCGACTTAGCTTAGTCGCGTCTTATTTCAGACGAAATGCTCGTTTTATACGGGAAAGTTTACGTCTTATTTTGGACGCGTCTTACTTTTTCTTGTATAAATGACCCTATTTTGACATAAATCCTCTCATTGCTACTTACATTAAATGCAGCTGGATTGAAATCTGTGGGTGGGGACCAGTAGCAGGTAAGAAAAACGCTGTCCCCTGCAACCTTACAGGAAAAATTTCTGGGTATTCCATTTAACGGTGCAACAAAATGGGACAGTTTTCTGGGTAAACCTCTGCCATGTGATGTGATGATGGTTATCTCAAACTCGTACGCTGTACCATAACGTGACACATTTACGTACGTATATGTTGAATTGACGACACGTGTGGTCCAAGAACTATACCAACAGCTGCTAGAGCCGCTCCTAACGCATTGCCATCTTACTTCGTATTGCTGCCAGAGAAAAGACAAGTCCCAAATGTTTTAATTTCCCTTTGGGTCTTTACAAGATATCCAGTTTATTGGCCGTCGTCATTCCGACATTTAACGCGACAACAAAAGGTCATCGTGACGTTATTTGAAGGCTTTATGTTTTTCCTCTTTCATCGTCTTCAGACCACTCCTAGACTCCTCCAAAATGTGCGATCCATTTAAGCAACACTGAAGCTAAACGAATGACGTCAACACTAGAACCCTGTCTCCCGGGAGAGGGGGAGGCTCCGTCCTGAGGACCAACCCCTTACCCTTTTATACCATTTTTGAAAATTTGAAAAGGTGCCCCTTTCGTATACCTTCTATTGACAAATAGTACCCCTTTCACATAACGTGTTTAGAACTTTGCAACCCCTTTTAACTCCTGTCTTTAAGACATGAATAAATCACAAAACCAGAACGTTTCCTCGACTTTTTCATAGCCATAAGAAGGTTAGAAACTTCGTACCTTCCTTCCTTCTTCCAAAAATCAGGGAAAAAACGGTTTGACATTCAAATTTTGGAAATTTCCCTATTATACTGTTACTTTCACTTTTGATAAGTAATTTTATCCGTCATCACTTTTTTTATTCATCGTAATTGTCATTGGGGAAGTTCGTTTGCTTTAGGGCCCCTCGCCATTTGTTTCTCCATTTTTGTATCTTTTTTGTTCTTGTAATCATTTATCTGTGTGGCGAATAATAAAATACAAATACAAACGAGTGTAAATTACCTTGAAAAATGTTAACTTACCATTTGTCCTCTGAACCGGTAGGGGCGGTACCAGTACACGTACACCTGCAATCCATACCCCGCTCCACTCATGTAAGAGTAAGCATAGCTCACTCTTAGATTTAGCGGTGGTACTGTCTTTTGGAGATAGGAATAAGAACCCTGACCATAACCTGTCACAGCATAGACACGTATGAAGTACTTGCTGCCTGCCATAACAGCCAACTTGAAGTTCGTCGTCTCGTTGACCCGGATGCTGTTATAGCTATAGTAGCCGCAGTAATAGGACTCAGTGTTATCTGTTTTACACCATCGGACAATGTAATACTGTAAGAGAACAGTTTACAATCTCACTAAGGAATAGTTAGACTTGGTGATCAGTTTGGTTCTAATCGATAAGATCAATATATCATCATCATCATCATCATCACCACCGTCATCATCATCACCATCGTCATTATCATCGTCATCATCATCATTATCACCAATACCACCACCGGTGATCGGCATTAAAAAGATCGACAAGTTCCGATTTTTTGGCCTTTGAACTGAAGGCCATTCCTTTATCCTCTAATAATTCCTTTAAAATTGCTACTGTCATATTCTTTGCTGGTCCCTATTTCATTCGTTCGTATTTTTCATATTTTTCCCTTTTTGCCGTTTCCTTGAGTTTCTTTTCCTGGCTTCCAAGTCGTTCACGGTGTCCTTCGATTTTAGCAAGTGTTTCGTTAAGGAGAAGATTGCCATCGGCTGATGGAGTTACTAGAATTTTCTGGATGAACTAACGAGAATCAAGAATAATGTATTTTTTTGAAAGAAAAAGCTTCTTTGCTAACTTTATATCATTTCCGCGGTCTAAGTTGCAATAAAATCTGAAAAAGTCATTCATCTTACGTTCAACGTCTTTTCCTCTTTTATGTTATTCCCTCATGGGAATAGGGACTTCAAGATAGGATGGCTACGGAGAGTTGTTGAGCTGTTTTGCGTAGTCGCGACTACTGAGAACATTTTGCTCGCATTTTGCCGTCTCCGTCAATTCTAGAATCTTGTCTTTTCGTAAAAAAGTTTTCAGTTCACCTGCTTTAAGTGAGAGGGAAGCGAACTATGTAAGTTGTGTCTAAAAGCGTGATGCACGTGCAAAGTTGTTTTTCAATCTAAACCTATTGCTTTCGTTGACGAAGCCGTCGTCGTGCTTAAGCTTCCTGATAACCGTGACATGACGACTACATAACGTCTTTGGTCTTTAGCGTTAATTTTTTCTTGCTTATGTATTACAAAACCTCTGCTTATAAGACCATTAAATTCCATGACTTTCCAGGCCTGGAGAATGAAACTCTTAAATTTACGACTTTCCAGCTTTTCCATGACCCGTATAGCCTGAATTTCAGACGATTACTTCGAGTCGTTTTTACTCTCTCAGTAACGTTTGAATCGACCGGCCGTTAATGCCGTCCACTGACGTCACTACTCCTTTGCTTTAATTCAGGTAAAAAGAAAACACACGATATTCAACTGGCAAACAAAGAAATATCGCCTGGAAATGTCTGCATGATACAGAATTGCTTCGCTCTTTTCGATCGTAATTCATGTTTAACGTTAAAACTGTCAACTGCATGCAGTACTCTGAACGAATCTGTTGTAAGGTCAATAATCAACCTCGATCGCAATAACGCAACGAAATAAATACGCACACGGAAGACTTCAAAAACACAACAATATTTCCTTTAATTGAAAAGGAGCTATTTAGTCCTGAACGAAGAAGAAAGAAAACAAAGCGAGTACCTTGATATTTTTGACGTCCACATTAATGGGTGGATCCCACTTGATGGTCATGTTGTAATTATTATCAACAATTGCTTGCAAATTACGAACTTTACCATAGTATCGACTTATCAACATTGAGATCACGGAACTCTCTCCATCACCAAAGTCTGTTACTGCGTGAACAGAAAATGAATATCTGTGACCCCGCTGCAAGTTGGGAATAGTACAGTTCGTCCGAGGACAAGCTTGGTCGCCATTGCGTTGACCGTAGTAGCAGTCTATACAGTTCCAGTTGACCATGTAAAGCTACGAAAATAAATACAAAGGAAAAGAGGTTAACAAATCGACAACAAATTTCCATGGTTTGTACTCTTATCGACCATAGAAATGACGTCAACATGTTGAAAACTCAAGGGGAACCCAGAGCTGCAGGCAGACAGTTTTAAATGCCCATTTCCAATGAAGTTTCAATTGCGCCACCATCATGACATTCCATGGTCTCTAACCACAGCTCTCGACCAATCAGTGCGCGAAAAATCTTGGCGATGGTCTTTGCATATTTTCCTCCTTTTATTTCCCAGATTCTGGACTTTTTCTGTTGAACGTTTTTTATTTTGAATTTGATCTTTTTTGGACGGCGCGACACTGAAAACCGCAATTCCACATTACCAATGATAAAGGAAATTTTATATAATTTTGATATACAAGATTTAACGTCCAGATCTGGGTTAAAAGGGAGAAGTACCACGCACATCAGTCTTTCGTTGATCCTTCACTCGCTCCCAGTCTCTGAAACATTTTGGAAGGGGAAAGGACGGCCGAGATTCAAGACATTTTTTTGGAAGGACTCAAATCAGTTGTAAAACATTTCATAAACTTTAATGTACCATGAGCGATTTAGGCGCTAATTTATTCAAAAAGGCTGAATTTGGTTACACAGCTTCTTTAATGAGTTTCTTACTGTTCTATTATTCATCCTCAATCAGTACCAAACAAACAAGAAATTGTTTGGCAACATGGCACTTACAAATACACGCCACAACAAAAACGGTCGACAGAATAAGCTATATTTTTACCTTCAGAGCCTTAGGTTTGATCGTTCCAGGGGCAGACCAAGTTAAAATGACACTGTTGTAGCCAGCTTTTGCCATCAAATGGCTTACAGGAGCAGTGAAAGCATCTGTTGTTTTGATGACATGAACCGGTGGACCAAGAGAATTATCTTTTCTGAATCTTGTTCGCACCTCAAAGGTGTACCGAGTGTTAAAATCCAAGAACCTGAATGTAGAGCTTGTCATTGTAGCGTTTGAAAGTTCCATTTTATGTCTGCCATCGGCCGTGTAGCTCATTTTTATCTGGTAACCCTAAAAAAGCGTACCAAAAGACTTTACAATGAGTTAGAGACGGGCGGTGCCCTGTAAAGGCCTTGTTGAACTTTTTACTTTGATTTAAAAGTCAAATGTGAAGCCAGACCACTTTTCAGTTGTGTACTGAGTATCCTGGCCTTGAGTGGAAGCGAGGCTAGAGGTAACCTTGTTTTCATAGTACCTCTCCCTTCTTTCAACGCAATTCATGTTCCTATGCACATCAATGGCACTCAAAAAAAACGCTAGCCTCGCCTGAACTTTACAGCTAGATTAGCATACAACTGTAAATTGGCCTATTAAGAGCGATGACGAGCTTTGCTTGACAAATTGAGTTTTCTCCAAGCCCGTTCTAACGTGTTTAAATAGTCGGCCAAGCTTGTAAAAATGAAACCGGTTGCCTCTTGCCAATTAAGGTTTTAATCATGTTATGTTCTTGTTACATTATTTGCTTCAAATAAGTTACGTGAAGTTATAGCTAGAGCAGATAAGTGCCATTCCATTACAATAAAATAGTATCAGTACCATAAACACTAAAACTTACCTTAATATTTCTTGGATTTGCAATATCAGGTGGTTTTTCCCAAGTAAGTACGATACTACTGGCATTAAGGACAACAGCCTTTAGACTGTGTACCGGCTGATAGTCGTGATCTGAAAAAAACAAAGCAACATGTAAAAGGCGTTAGGAATTAGGAAGGAGGAAAAGTGGGAGCGTTGTAAGCGAGATTTTACTAGTCAACAGGATTGGTACACGGTTACATGAATCTCGGTCAATCAAGGACACTACCGTGAGCTGTGACGTTACCGAGAGATACACGCCAGGAAGTTCGCGCGGACAACGGGGCAAGAGAGAACGCCTAGGGACTAGGCTGACAGACAACTGATGCTGAGCTGAACACTGCTGACAACAAAAAGAGAATGATGAAAGAAGAGTTGAAAAGTTACAAAGATCTTTTTAACCTACAACCATTTTGATCGCTTACCGCTGACCTAAAGGTAGGTGATTGTTTTCAGTTTTTTAAGGCCAATTGTTATAAGGCATTTCCTGGCTTTATGATCTAGATTCTGACAAGTATTTTGTTCTTTTTGTTTCGATGTCTCACCATAAGCACACTTGTGGCGACGTTGTGACTTATACGTGGGCAGCTAGCATGACTGTTGCATTTCGGCTTGTAACTAAAATTTATAGTAAGCGATTATAGAGATTTCACCATCAGCATAATGCCGCTGTCGGTTAAGCATAAATTTTTGTGGTACTCAAGTTTGGAATTCACGGCAAATATAGCGGCTGGAAAGAATTATTGTTAGAAACCTTTCTTCCTGAAGGGACCGTTCTTCGATAATACCAACATTGGAAAACGATTTAATGAAAATAACAGAAGAGATAGAGGATATTACATGGCCGCGCTGAGATACGAAATTTCTCTTCGAGTGTTGAAGAGAAATTTCGTATCTCAGCGGCCGTGTAATGTTCTATTTATTATATAAACACCAATGAAATACCAAACCATTTCACTTTAACAGATTTTTTTGTGTGTAAAAGGCGCGATTTATTATGTAGCTATAGCAAAGGTGATATTTTCTTATGTGAAGATGTAGAGGATATTACACGGTGGCGCGAAGATATGAATTTTATTTTCGAGTGGCAAAACAATAATTACAATTCTGTAATTCGAATTCCTCAAAAAACTTAAACTCGCCCTAATAAAAGAATTCACCAGGCCGGTCGCAAAATCCACTCGCCCCGGGCTATCGGACACTACTTTCTTTAGACATATTAAATTCTGCAAGCAGAATACTGCAATGCTGATCGTACTACGTGAAATTTAACTCTGCAAGACATCAACAGGACATCGAAAGAACTCAAAACAGAGCGGGATTGTAGCCATAGTCAGCTGTTTCGCCCTCTTTGGGGCTCGTCAGTATGGCGTAACAACCAGAGATCAGGCTCTGATGAAAAATTATCCGCGCACTCTGATTTTAGTTCTGACCCAGAACTCCTGACACCCACAGAATCACGTCATACCACGTGCTTCTGAGGGGTAAGAGTCCAAGTGTCAAGTTGATGTCTCGCAGAGAAAATAAAGAGTTGGCAAAACCAACCTAAAACACATGGACAAAACCATGCAAAAGTTACAGCATATCGGATCTATAAAAGATCTACGGCCCAAAAATTCATAAAGTACAAACATTAACCACAAGGGACTGCAAAGGACCGCAAACGAATATGCCGAAGAACTTAGAATCTATAAAGACCTGATCAGCAAAAATAATATTGTAGACATATTAAATTCTGCAAGCCGAATACTGCAATGGTGATCGTACTGCGTACTACTTTCTTTGCACGCTGTTCGATTTCCCTAAAAGGTTCGAGTTATCGGGAGTCGACTAGCCTGTGATGCTGGAGGTATCATAGCCTCCTAGGCAGGCGATTTTAGGGGAGTTCGTATTTCGTCTCTCCCCAGAAGAGGAGGGAAGAAATACGAACTCCCCTAAAATCGCCTGCGGGGGAGGCTAGAGGTATCACAGTGGGTGAGTGCCTTTGTGACTCGTTCCCATCCTTCTCGCTGCTATACAGCCAAGTAGGAGAGGAACCTAGGACCGAGGTTGAGAGATGACTTAACAAAAGCATCCATGGAATGAGGTAGTGGCGCCAGCTACGTAGGTTACACGGGTAACTCTTTCATATTTACCTGTTCGAGTATCAGATAACGATCTTCTCTTTCTTGTGTAGTCGGAACCCTCATCTACTCTTTGCATTTTACTTGGAACTTGTGCCTGTAAGCAATGAGGGATATCGAAAGACTTCAGTGACCGCCTCAAATTACTTCGTCAAACAAGGCAAAAACCAAACAATATTCAGGCTGTTTTTTTTTTTGGAAAAAGTGAACGCGACAATCCCGAAAGGTATTGTGGGTGGCTTTGTTTTCACTGTTCTTTCAAAGAATTGCACGCGAGGCCACGGACGTATGTTTGCGATTGCTAAAGGAAAGCAACAAATGTACGTTCCACGGCTGCAGTATCAGGAACAGTGTATTGATCATATCCCACAATGCCTTTGGGGATTGTCGGGTTATATTTTTTTGTCGACAACCTTTCTCGAAATAGCTGTACAGCGTCACATATATATGAGCCCTTAATGCTAAAAATGAATCAGTCATTGTAAATTTCCAGCAAAAACGATTTACGTATGTTTACCAATCCTTCCAATTTGAAAATGACCAATTACGGAAGTACGAGCAGAAGTTAGACATATCAGTTTTGTACGAAATAATAATTAATAATAATAATTTACAATTTATATAGCGCAAACCTCTATATGAATATATTCGGTTGCGCTTTTCAATATTGTTATATTAAATTTATGTTAAAGGTGACTAAAGCATGAGAAACTATTAAAAACTAAAATAAAAAGTATTAAAAAACTATAAATAAAAAATAAATAAATAAGTAATAATAATAAAAAAAACCCTATTATAAAAGCCAACAATTAAATCTATTTAAAAGCTAAATTGAAAAAATGAGTTTTAACAGCAGTCTTAAAAGTGTCCAATGTCTTCATGTTGCGAATTGCCAAAGGTAATGCAATCCAGAGATAAGGTGCAGCTGACTGGAATGCACGATCGCCAAGAGTTGGATGGGTCTTAATGCCTGGTAACTCGAGGAATATAGACTCATTTGAGCTTAGAGAGTACCTAGATTGCTTTTTGATAGTAATGAAATCAATTAGATAATTAGGAGCTTGACCATATAAGCACTTAAATGTCAAAAGTAGAATCTTAAACTTTATATGGTAACTTATTGGAAGCCAATGAAGGTGGAAAAGCAATGGTGTAACATGCCAAGAATCTTGGTGTTCCGGTGACCAACCGAGCCGCGGCATTCTGTATCCGTTGGAGTTTCATGATATGTGAATTCGGGAGGCCATATAGTAGGCTGTTACAATAATCTATTCTGACTGGTGATAAAAGCCTGAACTAATGATTTGGTGACTGAACGACTTAAATATTTCCTAATTCTACGCATGTTATAAAGATAATAGAAAGCGGATGAGCAAGTTTTGTTGATATGACTTAGCATACTCATTTTAGAATCAAACCAGGTTCCTAGGAGTCGAACTTCACAAGATGGAGCAACTTGGGAGTCCCCATGCAACCGATAAGGTACTAATGTTACTGACTTTCTGAAGTTGTTGTCGTGTTCCAATCAGAAGACATTCTGTCTTATCGGAATTCAGTTTTAACTTATCCGAAAATACAAAGTAAAGTCAGCTTTGATACGATAGATAAAGATATTATTGTAAACTATACGTTAAGAAAACTTTAATTCAGGTTTTTCAAAAAAAATACAAAAGGAAGAAGTCATTGCACACGAAGATCTTGCGTCCATGTCCTTTGACACAGTTTAAACCGCAACCAACGCGACCTTTCGGAATATTGAGTTCGGCAATTTATATATATATTTTTTTCGTTATATTAGTTGCTGCTACATTTACGTCTTCATTTTAATATCATTCCTTACGTATAACCGTCCAGCAGTTTGATCGAGAGGTATATTTTAAGATGCGTCCACTGGCCAAGATAGATAAAGCGGTTAAATAGTAGAGCACAAACAATATATGTGAGACAGTAATACTAAATTGTACAAATTTTTGCTAATTAGATTGCTTTTTGTTTATTCTGAAGCATCACTATTTTGTACAATTTAGTCATTTGTATTTGACAGAGATTCTGTTTGCACTCTAAACTTCATTGTTATTTCAAATTTTAGCTAATAAATAATCCAGACCTATCTGCTTTAATATGGTTTGATTGAATTTTCTTTCAACTTCAATATCCCAAGAAAAACATGATGAAACAACAAGAAAGTAGTCCTTTTACAACTGCACGAAAATCATTTGAAAAGAATTATATTTTGCATGGTTATTACATTTGTGTTCACCATGAAGGCACGATTTGTAAAAATCCGTCACTTTTCCTATATTTATACGCTGATTTTGTAATAGAGTAGGTTAGTTCCATGTTATGCAAAGCAACTAATTATCTAATGACTAGTATGTTTATTGACCAATAAGTCTTCACTCTCACCACAGGAGGGCAAAGCTCAATATGAGAGTACGTGCGGTTGCATGATTTTCAAAATAGTCGTCATAAAAGGATTGTATGGGAATTCAGGTAATAGATTCGAGAAGATAAATACTCGCATGAACTTCCAATACGCTTTACCTTGTTTGGCTTGGTGTCTTCTTGCTTCCTGTGTGGTTATTTTCCCGATCCGTTGCGATTTAAGCGATTTCCTTTGTCTTGAGTTTCCATTACACTGAGATTATTAGCGGAAAATCGGGATACATGTAAATGAAATCAGCTTAAATCGCAACGGATCGGAAAAATAACCACACAGGAAGCAAGAAGACACCAAGTCAAACAAGGTAAAGCGTGTTTCAGCGTATTTCATTGGAAGTTCATGCGAGTACGAATCTTCTCGAATCTATTACCTGAATTCCCATACAAATCCTTTATAATGACGGCCATTTTGAAAATTATGCAACTTCACCACTCTCATATTGAGCTCTGGCCGCCTGTGTTGTTACATGCATTTTAATAATTACTTTGTAGAGCGTATAAGAGGAGATATGAGGTGGGGGGGGGGGGGGG